AAGTGCATAATATATGCCGTTTATCACATAGCTGTGCAATTTGTCACTGGGATATATCACCACTACCAACTCATCTAGTTCCCCTTCTTTATGCTAAGTACTGTTTCTGTGCCAGGCCCCCTCCTCTTCCTCCTTGGCACAGAAGTTACATTCTAGCTCACTGTCCGAATGCCAAATTAGATGAGGTTACGCTCTTTACTACACACATCCCATCTGAAATTTATGTCACAGCTAAAATAGATCCACACACTTCCATGGGAGTGCATCTGCTTTTCCCAGGGATGAATTTTGTATTTTCCTAACCCCACTCTGTTTATTTTATTACATCTGGTTTCAATATATTATTTTTAACATAATTTAATCAAATTTCAAAAGTTCCACTAAAAATAATTGAAGAATATTTGTGTATTATGGCATAAGATGCTCTGTAAGTGGCATAAGTAAGAAGCTACTTTACATTTTAGTATATTTATTATCATAAGCTAAATTGCTATAAACATCATCTAATGCAATTCTCTGGAATGGTAACACATTACTGACCTCTAAAAGCCATTCCCTAATGTGTTTTCATTCTCCATTCAACAATATACTCAAATGTATACTAGCAATGATTAAAAACCCATCCGGGAATAAGTGTCTCTCTCACTTAATGTTGAAGGTACATTTACACTGTAGTCCCAGAAGTACCGCAGCATAATCTGGAGATGCCCGAGCTAGTTTTCACATTTCTCAGCATGGAAAATTAACCTGGAGCCCTGACTAGACCATTTTTGATACCCAGGCCAACTCAGTATCTGTATACTAACTACTATAGTACAGTCCCTTCTGCAGCTTCACTGTAGTTTAGTGCAAAGTTTCTGAGTCAAACCAGAGATACAGAAAGCCAGACAAAAGAACGAAAAACGGTACTAAATTCCCTAGACTGGGGAAAACTATTTTGCTGATTGGTGAACTGAGACAAAAGAAAGGTTAAGTGATTTGATCAAAGCCACACAGCCTAGGGACACAGAAATTGTCCAGAGGTAGGACCTGAAGCTCATCGACTGCCACACATGGCCTCCAACTGTGACCCCATACTTTGAACAAAGACACAAGAAATGGTATACCAAATAATTATGATTAACTGTCCCTCATAAAAGGTGTCTTGCATTTGTTTGTGACCTGAAACCTGAGGACTTACGCTGCTTGTGTTGTGAAAGTCCCAAATGTAGTTGGTACCAAGCACTACTGGCACGTGCATAATACAAACAACACGACTGTAATTCAATAAGGCCTCCTCTTCTGGTTCTAAACAAAATAATATTGGAAGTAGTTTTTCCTCAACCATGAGATCAACATACATATAATTCAGAGGCAGACATTTTTTTCCATAGACTTCTCAACTGTTTGAAGATATTTTGAGAACTTCGAAACTGGACCAACCCGAGTTGTGAACTATTCCACCTATTAGACATTTAAAGTGTGATATCACCATGCTGAAATCACAAACACATCTAGTTTTGTAACCCTCATCTTATCTTTAAAGATAATACAAAAAACAACAAGAACCCATCCACTTTTCAGTTTAAGATTCTTTCAGGGACTTGAGCAGAGTGGACAGAATCACAGTGAAATGCTTACTAGGTGAAATAGTATCTCATCTCTGTGCATCTTCAGTAAGAAAGCAGAACAAACAAGGGGTGCAAAACCTCACTTCTCAATCATATTTTCTCTCTATACATAAATTCACAGGAAAAAAAGAAATTTATGGCAGAGTTTATGTAATTTTGAGCAAGTAACTATCACACTGAACCATTTCCTACCATGTCTCTGCATACTCTCCTGCAACAGGATGACAGGTTTCTGTTCCTTCATGAACAGTACACCCAAATTAACTAGTCATGGAAAAAGAGTCTTCAGTTCACAGACTTCATCCAGCTTTAAGCATGAATGGCAAATCCCCTTCATTGTAGGCCAGAAGGAAAATTATGGAATGCTGTACTTACATTTGTGGATGGAAATTTTGACCTTTGGTCAGATACAAACTGCTTCTGCTGCCTTGCAGATCCATCTGTTCTACGACAGCACTGTGCCGACTTGCAAAGCAGCACACCAATTTCCATATGGCACCATTGGAAACCAAATCTATAAGCTCAGACTGCCTAATAATTTTCAGTTTCCACTGACATCTCTTCTTCTAGAACAAATGTGCTACATAGAGGAGACATCTGGCATTAACTTATACATTGTCATTTATTTCCCACTCAGATAGTGTTCTTGCTTTCTTTTTTCGCTGCTGAGATTTTTGTACATTGAGGCAGAATACCATAATGCACCATAGGTACCTGGATAGCAAAGAAGAGTTACAGAGCTTTATAAATCATGTGCACTACTGAAGAACTCTTGCTTTAGTAAAAGGTACAATGAATATTGCAATTTTACAATGTGTAGCCCCATTTCTCAACTGAACATTAATCACCCTTGAAGGATGCAACTAGCCACCAATAGATTAGAAAACTTAACTCATAAATTCCATGCTATGATGGTAGGTGTCTAGTACTTGGATACACGGAACAAAGATTTGTTGGGGGGGGCGGGGAGAGTTGTTTGTTTTTAAATAAAGTGGAGCTAAAAGGTTTCCAGGTTGATAGCATTGTAACAGTGAGTGACTGTTAGATTGTCTAACCCAGGCTTGTCCAACATGTGCCCCGCCAAGGCATTTTTTGTGGCCTGCGGTGCTGCGATGGGAAACAAAAGTAAACACGGTTTACTTTTGTTCCCACCCCTTGTCCCTCCTCCAGCCCCTTAGCAGCTTCCTAATGGCTGCTGAAGGGCTGGGGAAGGGATAAGGTTCCCACACGCACTGCGTCAGCTTGATGTTGCTGACGCGGTGCATGTGGGAAGAGGAATGAACAGGATGAGCCCAGCCGGAGCAGCAGGGGGCTCAGCTGCACTTTCCCTCTACCAGCACCAGTCAGTCCTGAGCGGCACACAGCTCTGCTGGTGCCTCTGCTGGCTGGTGCTGACCCGGGCAGGTCCCCAGTGCAGGTAGGGGGAAAGTGCAGCTGAGCCCCTGCTGCTCCAGCTGGGCTCATCCTGAGGTTCATTTCATGTTTGTAAAATGCTTGAAGAGCCCCACATAGATGCACTGCATAGAAATACAAAATATATTTTGACTTATTTGGTTGGCACCTTGGGCTGAGATTTTCAAAGCCGAGTCAAAAGGCCAACTTCCATTAAAATGAATGGGATTTAGAGAGCTCCAAATCTTTTATGACAACTTTGTAACATGCCTATCTACCCCTTTTTGCGAATCTCAGCCGTAGTTTGGAAGCTCAGCCAAAGAACATAAGAGCTTCTGAACATAAGAGCATAAAAAGTGCCATGCTTGGTCAGCCCCATGGTCCATCTAGCTCAGTATCCTGTCCCAAACAGTGGCAGAGGTGGATGCTATAGAGGGAGAGTTTTGAACTGGTTAGACCCATTTCATTGTCACTTCCTGCAACTTGATTGGTGTCAAAGATCACATGACATCACTTCCTGCTGTGATACCACTTCCTGTGAGGTCTTTAAATATGGCTCGCCAGCCCACTGGGTGATAAAAAGTTTGTAATCCGGCCCCACATTCAAAAAGGTTGGACACCCCTGGTCTAACCCTAGAGCTACAGCTTGTAGGAAAAATTCAATGAGGTCAGGCAATATTACAGCTAGTGCTTCCTCAGTAAACAATTTAGGAATCAAGTGCCAAACCCTTTTCCCAGCAGAGCCCCTAGGAGCTTTGTCATGGGATTTTATCACATTCAGGATTTGGCCCGTTATAAGTAACAAACATAATGGTCAGAAGCATACTCCACTACTAGGTGCCCTTACCTGGAGTACCCAGAAATTAAAACATATGTATCTAGAGTGAAACTATAGACCGGTCCTCAACATTAGAGGCCACTTTCAAAAACCATGGGCCAAGGAATTCAAGTGGTTCAACACTTCACCCAACAAGATCCACAAAAAGAACATAGATGCGGCAACATTCATCGTTACGACAACTGGTTTTTAGGTGTTTCCCACTTTACGGAACCTGCAGCTCTGAGTCAGCACTAGCAAGGGTTCCGGTTCTGGAACTCAGTCTGGCTGGACTTGCATATTCAAACCCACGAGGATTAAATTCATCCAGCTCCACAGGCCACATGAGGAGCTAGGGACCAGTCTGGGGGCCCAGTCCAGCCTGTGGCTTGGCCTTGTGCTCCTTATCTGGCCCATGAATCGCATGTGCACGGTTGGGCTTGTGTAGGTGCCACACTGAGCGTGCACCCAGGACCAGCTCCACATGGTGGCCACTGCATGCTGCATGTGGTGCATGGGGCCAGTCTGAGACTCATAAGCAGCACCACAGACTGCATCATAGGGCTTCCTGGGCCATATTTTGACACCTAGCACAATTCCAATTTGTTCAAAATCTAAATGTTTTCTTCTCTCCTGGCTGAATTAGGAGGTTCTGAAAATGGCTGTAAAATACACGCAGCATGGGCAACAAAGCAAAAGCAAACATTTTCAAGGCATTCATTTTTCTATCAAGTAACTCCGCTCTAGTTATAAGCAGATTAACACACAGGCCAGCTGGGCCCAGGTCCAGGGGCCCCAGACAAATGAGGGTATGGGGAGAAGGGGAGGCATTTTCCCATTCTCTCTTTCCTCAGTTTCATCCAAAGCTTTCTTGGATGTTTCCACTAATTCCTCACTAATGGCCTCTAGATCATGCTGCTGAGCCTACAATGGTTGCTCCCTAAGTCAACAAAGCTAATTATTATTCTCAAGTATTTAGCCTTAAAAAAAAAAAAAAAATCAAAAGTAATCCCTCATTCCCATTGGCAAGCAGGTAGAGTCAGGAAGAATAAGGGAACCCCACAATCACAGTTTCTCAGGCTGCTCACACTCTTGTCCATGTCTGGAAGGCATTGCTTACACAAGAAACAGCAAATCAAATTGTTAGGAACCAAAGAAGCAAAGCACTTAGTGGACTCACCATCTCCATCAGCAGCAAATGGACACAGCAACCACTGGTTCCTTCTTTCCACCTCAAGAATCTGAATGAGCCGCTGTTTGCAGCCCTGCCGTCTTATCTTCCTGGGCACCTGCGCAGGGAAAGGTGGGGCTGAGTTAACTCATTATTTGCCAGTGACCACAAACAGGCTCCTGAAGCCATCCAGATGCAAACACTAACTGCCCTCCTTGCCCCATATTGGAAATCCTCACAGTATTGAAAACATTTCACAATTTTCAAAACATGGTCTCCCATTCTTCCTGAACAAATGCATTCCTGTTCTACTCAGTTACCCAGCTCCATTTACCATTCTACATCTATTCTCCAACTCTCCTGCTTTTGGCATGGTCACCTTTCTAAACACCTCCTCTCAGAAGCTTTCTTTTCCCAGAATGTTTTATAGGGTAGCAAGCTGGTTTGAGAGATAAGCAATCTTATTCTCCAAGCACAAAAACAAGCCAATGCTACATGCACGTGTTTTCTTTCTAAACATCTGCCTAGAGAGAAATCACTAAAACCTGCATTGCTCACAGTTTACAGGAATCTGCTCCGCTGCCTTGCACTTTGTGTATTCATGTATATCCCTACAAAGTGAGCACAAGGTTGAAAATGTCATCACCGTGCAAATGACAGGAGATTTGTAACATCATATCACTTGTACCTGACGGCACAAAAGTACAGTATAGATAGCAGCTGCTGAAACTGTGAGCCACATTCAGTGCAAAGCTGAGGGGTAAGGTCAAGCCACCTTCTATCTCAATACGAGATACTTGTAGTAGCTGTAAACCTACTTTTGTTTCTTTATTCTATGCGATGAGAGTAATATTCAAAAGAATCATTTTCTACCGTCAACATTCAGTGATACTCAGACCACAGCTTCTGAGCCACAAGTGACTCTTCAACTTATCACTTGCAGCTCTTCACAGAAAATGTTATCAAAGTAATTTTTATTGCTGCATAAAATGGGTAGGGCTTTCCTGCAATCATGAATAATGCAGCCCATACAACTATACTAATTTGTTTTCACCTGGATTCACCGAGGGAGGGAAGGGGTATATGTTGAATATGTACACAATTCCCGGAGGGGACTCTTTGATCAGCCGTGACTGCTCATGTGTCTTCTAAGACAGGACAGAGTATCACACACACACACACACACACACACACACAGATTCAATGAGTATATGCATACATTATACATATAGTAACACTAATTAAATATATATATTGATTCCCATTGATTCGAGGGGTATATGCATGTGTGTGCGCACATAAACACACACACACAGACTCCAGGTCTATTTTTATATATATAAAATGCACACAGTTATCCATTGAATCAATGGGAGTTTTTCCATTGAATCTAATGACCTACAAATCAAGTCCTTGATTAATATTAAGTGATATATCTTGACTACATGGAAAAGCTGCACAGGAATAAAAAACAAGAAAAAAATACATTTAAAATCTATAGTGTAGGAGCTTCTGCATTGTGCTGTCTTATATCTCCAAATCATAATGAAGTAAAGAAACAATACTTCCATTTCTTTTAAATAGGTTTCCCTTAAAAATTAACATTCCTCTGTCATGTCTTAAGTTCTAGCCTACTGGATTTTTTCTATGTACTTCATTTTGGGGGTTTTATTATTATGTAATCAAACTCTCCAGAATAACAAGGCTGTGCAGTCTAGCCATTTTTCAGATGAGTTTTCATTGATCTTCAGTCAGCTTTTGTTTATTCAATACCTGGTATTCTGGACTGTTGTAAGGAACAGTGTGGTCTGAAAGTAGCAAGTAGATTTGTTTGTAGAGTTGTCATAATGGAAAAGTCAAAGGGTCCCAAAGCACGGAAATATTTTCAGGGAGAAGAAGCAATTGGTTAGGCTATCTCCAGACATCTCTGCTAGAGGACAGGATAGAATGGTTACTTTCCAAATTAATTCTTGGCTCCCATCTTTCATCTGCAGGCTATTTCCATTTAGCAGGATGTGAAACACCATAGCTAATATTTTTTTAAGTAACAAAAGAATGTTAAAACTACCGATATTCTTTAGCTTCATGTCAACATGAGACATTTTTCAAGTCTCAAAAGGAATTCCCATGCTATTGACATTGGACATACAACAAGTAATGATGCACTGGGCTCCTCAACTGCTATAGGGTGTCTAAGCATGCATGGAAGCCAGAAATAAAAAGAGTTTAGAGTGCAAGTTCTTTGGGACAAAGCCAATCCTTCTGTCTCATTTCCACCTAGCACCTAGTACTGGGGTTCCCAAACCTACCTCAGTGCAAATAAATAATGATGATGATGATGATGATGATGCCTACATTAAAAACCTATGCAAAACCTTTCAGTGGAATTTGGGTCCTTTTTCATTGCCTCACATATTCTAAAGAAATCCTATTTTTCCTCTCCTTTGTTATATTAAAAATATAAAGGATACCTAGTCTTCCCTCTCTTGATGTTCTTGAAGGATTTCTTGAGTGTCTTACAATATACCACTGGTATTTTGTGTACCTTAATTGAAGGGGAGGAGGAGTTCAATATTTACCAAAGTTGCTGTTTATCCACCCCAATCATTAGTCACTGAAGCTTTGAACAGCCTGAATTAGTGTCTCTCCCTCTCTCATTTGCTGAGCTTTCAGTATTTTGATTTGTGTAATGACATTATTTTATTAGTTCTAGTCAGCATAAAGCCTTTCATGGCTGGATAGGCCTTAAATTTCTAACACAAAAATATGGTGGTGCAGGGGAGGAACCTTGAAAATCAACTCTCAGGCTACTTTTATATGCCATGAAAAGGCATAAAGGGATGAAAAGCCAGGTTTTCCTTTGCAGGTCACACTTTAAATACATGAAATCCTGCCACAATGAATGCTCCCATTCAAAGCAATAGGGAAGGGGAACATACTGTAAGATACTTCTTAATGTTCTTAAAACGATTATCTGCATTGTATATGTACATTACTCTGGTGTGTGCAGAATAACCTCCTTTGAAAATGATCCCAGAAAATCTAATCACAGGCAAATGGTTGTTAAAAATAAAGTCCATGGTTAAAATACAAGTCCTTCTGTACAGAGAGTTACAGCGCCACCTAATAGCTAATGTTAAAGAGACAAATATTGGAAGAGAAGCTAAGTCTCATGTTTCAGTGGTTAAGCCAACCTCTAAATGCTAGGGATTAGCATGGAAGGGCTCATCATCCCACATCTGCCGGCAGAAAAGTTTCTTACATTTAGTCATTGTCAGGGAAAGGGTCCTAGGAGTAGAATAAATTTGTGGCTGGTTTAGTATGGCAGATCCTTTGCTCCTTTATGGACTGATTTCTGTAGGAATCCCCAGCCACATCCCAAACTTCAGAGCCATGAAAGTCATGCCAAGTGGCTGCTCACAGTAAGCAGTTTGTAGATTTAGTGTTGTATGGCTTGAAAACCAGCTGGCTAAAACCAACCCCTGGCAAGACTTAGCTGAGGCAGATAAGAAGAGGGAAGCTTTGCTCTATCCCCCACTATTTTGATCCCCACCTACCTTCAGATTATAATTTGGGAAATTATTTCTTTGGGAACCCTCAATAGCTATGGTAACTAGTAATGCTATTTCCATCTATTCCTCACCAAAAAATTGTACGTGTCTCCTATTAGGTACAGACCTGATAACTTGCAGGGTTGATGGCATCACATTGGGCCAAACCTTCAGCCCAATACAGCTGTGCTTTATGCTACTCCAGTCAAGCAATAAAAAACAACTACCCTGAGCACACAATTGGGAGGTTAATTTTCCAAACATGGTACAATGTGCCCACAACATAGCCAAGAAGCCAAGATGAATTCTCTAAGAAATAAAGCACAGTCTGTGGGGAGTCTCACAGTGGGCTTTTCCACAATGCACAGGTTTCTATGTTGCATGTTTTTAGTGGCTATACAGTGCTTGACAGTCTATAAAATCAAATTCTACATTGAAAAGAAGATTGCATACTCTTTGTAAAAATACCAGGTATAAAACTGGAATGCATCCTTCCTACAAAATACTGAATGTAAGACATCTGAGTGCCTAGGAAAACATACATTCACTCTTTTCCCTGTGTATAAACCTTGTGCACTTTTGTGAATTGGTCTCAGACAAAAGGATGCTGTGTACTTGCACAGCACAGGACCTACCAGAAAGGAACGCAGTGGAACAGATACAAAGCCTAGCTTTTTAAACAACGCTCCATCACCAATTCTCTGCATCTCCTCCGCAGAATGGATCTGCGTTCTCCGCGGGAGCGCATGCTATGTAATATGGCTCCAAGTTGTTGAGGTCATAAACACTTGACTGAATTTGTTGTTTTCACAGGTATAGTTAGAAAACCTGGCCAGTAGAAACGGTGCATGTTTGAAAGTAAACTCCATTGTTACTCCACTATAGAATCATTGGCATCAAAACATCTTAAACAATGCCATTTGGAAACTATATCCCCATGCTATATTACACATATACTTCCATTATAATTTGATCATATAAATTCTTTAAACACACAGAATAGGTTGCCAATTCATTTTCTCAATTCTTTTAAAAAGACAAAAAAATAATGTTACCAATAGCTCCAACAGATCCTTCTCTCTAATTTCCACTGGAACATCTATACCTTGTTTAAAGAATTAATAAAGTTATCAGAACATCCTGCCTGCTGCGCCTACCCTGATTGGTTCTCTTTTTCTATATGAAAAGTTTTCATAAAGAAGCAACCTTAAAATAGGTTCTTAGAGTAGAAACTTCTGGGCAAGGGTTGACAGTTCTGTAGCTGACTGTAGATTTTTCTGATTTCTCCTTTTCCTGATTGTAGAAAATCATAGTAGCGCTAATAACCCTGAACACACACTAGTAAAAAGGGAGGAGTCATGTTCTTACATGGAAAATGTTTTGATGCGGCCTTCAAAAACCAGAACTCACTACCTGTGAAGCACACTCTACCCGTGTCCTCCTCATGAATTCCATCTACTGTAACTGGTATAATTTCTCTTGGCAGTGGCATGAGATATTTTCACATTATTATGTTCCAGAACTGGTACTTTATTGTCACTGAACTTTATTCAGCAACCATATCAAGAGCAGATGTGTTTCCTCATCTTCAAAGTTTCTACCCTTTATTGTCATATGGTGGTCATCTAAAAAATGAAGTTTTTCATATGGTTATCTATTGAACATACATCTATCTTGAAATCTTAGAGTCCTATCTTCCCTTTCCTTTATGTGTTTATGGAATCTGCTGCAGAGCCAGAGGGGTAGGTTTTACAAGAGGTGCTGTGTATAATTGTTTATGGTGGAGAGTTTACTGACTCATTGTGTTAAAAAGAATAAATCTACCTCTCTCTTCTGAAGTATACTAGATTCAGCATTCTGAAATCCTAGACAAGGTCAGTAGAAATGAAAGACCATTTAAAACAACAAAACTCTCAGCTGAGGTTGTCCTCTATAAAAGATTTTCACTGGTGTCCAATATAAGGGTAAAGGGCTTCCAGCAAGTTAATATCCATCTAAGACACAATTATCCTATAGGGCTTTTACTGAGCAAGTCTTGCATGTCCCTTTCTTGACATAAATTACTGTGACTTCTCTCAATAGGAAAAGAATTATCCAGACTCTCTCACGCCCACACTATTAGGAGCTCAGGACCTTCAGCTCATGCCACTGGCATTCAACAGGAATCAGGCAGCAGAATATCTGGCAGGAACATGTTTTATAACTAGAGATGTATGAACCACATGCATTTGGGATTGCACGAGTTTTACCAAACCTTGACTGCTGTCTGGATCCTAGCATGGCTTTTCATTTCAAATTTGTCTGTAAAACATCAGCTTACCATACACAGGAAATCAGTTCATTTGCTAAGATTAGATATTGTACTCAATTTCATGATGGTGCCTACGGGTTTGGAATAATGTCTCTTGAATCTTCTCTTTTTGCATTTATCCAAAAAAGATTCATGTGAACCTTGCCATGTTTGCTAACCATTCCATCCCTAAATTATTTTTCAAAGTAATACACAAGGTAATACATAAGTATTGGTGGTATGCTTGTGCGACTGGTCTGGACAAGAATGAAGCACATTGGTCACCAGAGAAACCATGTCAAGTTCTTCATAAAGCTCAGCAATAAAAGAATGTGTTAGGAACTTCCCAGTAAAACAGAAAAATCTAGTGTTTTGTGTGTTCTGACATAGAAACGAATACATACATACATACATACATACATACATACATGTATGTGTTCTGGAAACAGCATCCATCTATTTCATTTCTTAAAATAATTTATTTCACAAATTGTGTGCCAACTCTTTTTTTTTAGTGTGCATCTGATTTTCCAGATTTCTCCATTTGCTTTAACAGTAGTCACATTTATTACAGAAGTGCACATGACAATACAATATTGTTCATCTTGTACTCCTGATAATTCCATAATAGAAATCAGCTGCTATGATTTCCTGGTACAAAGCACAGTTTGGTCTGGATCAAAACCAAGTTAAATACCTTCTGCTTCCAGTTAGAGGTTAGAGATCTCTGGCACAAGATGTTAAACTTGATTAGTAGATTGTTTTGCTGCACTTTTAACTCTTCTCAATAGGCTAAATAGCCTTGAAAAATTCAAGATGCTGTCTAAAAACTTAGTTAACTCTAATAAAAGATCAAACTCTTGGCAATAGAATTTTAATAGCTCAGCTGAGATTTCATTTAAGGGTCCAATCCTGGAAGCCCCTAACTCCCACAGAAGTCATGATAAATGCAACAGATATCAACTGGGTATTCTTCGTGCAGAGATGTTGCTTTACCCAGGTCAAAGTAGAAGGACAAAACTATAGGAAATAATTAAAATTGGGAAACTGAACATTTTTTCTTGCCATTTAGACATTTTACATTTA